AGCTGCAGTCTTTCTGCTAGATCTTTTGTGACCAGGTTGGTCTGTGAGCCACTATCTAATAGTGCTCTTGCTTCACAAAGCTCCCCCCGAATGTTTTCAATTTTAACGATTGCAGTTTCTAACAAAACGCTTGTGGAATTGGACTCTTGTGAAAATAGTACATTTTGTGTAGCTTCAATGTCTCTCACTATTTCCTCCGAGGTGGGATCTTCATTATCATTACATACATGCATCATTGTGTGGTGTTCCTTCTGGCATATTCTGCAATTCTGACTGACTTTACATACATCTGGTAAATGAGCAGGTTCTAAACATTTCTCGCAATGGAGATTAAGTCTTAAAATTCCCTACCATTGTGTTATTGGTAGTTTCTTAAATTTAAAACAATTATATACACGATGTCCGTTCAATTTACAATATATACATGGTTTGTACTGTTTATCCTGAGACATTATATTTACAGATTTGATTTTTACCCCGGAATGTTCTATCTTACCAGTCTTCTTTGCTGTTTCCAACGCACACGACCTGGTTTCAAGAAATTTATAAAATTTGTTTAACGTAGGCAGCTCTCCTTCTTGTTGTGATAGACTCCAAGCTAAACGAGTATGGTAATCTAATTTATTTTAAGCTGAAAAACTAAAATTATGTCCCAGTAAACTGCGTCCTGATGAATAGTTGCTAGGGACTCAGTTTATTGCCTAGATTGGTTTAAAAATGATTGTAGATTCTCGTGTGATCCTCTTAGTATAGGTTTCATATCATTTAGTGATTGTAGGTGTGATGTAATTATCAAATATTTATTGTTATATCTATCTTGCAGTAAATTATATGCCGTGTTGTAATTTTCATTGGTCATGGAAAGATTTGTTATTAAGTCAGATGCTGGTGATTTTAATGTACCTTTTAAATAATGAAGTTTTTGAACGTCTGATAATTGTTCATTGTTGTGTATAAGTGAATTGTAGATATCTATGAATAAATTCCATTCTGAATAATTCCTACTAAACTTTGGTAGATTTATATCTGGAAGTTTCATGTTAACTTGCCTATGTTTTAAATCTATATTTGGTTTATTTTCATTAATGCTACTAAAATATCTTCGATTTGAGCTGACAATTCAAAATGTAAATCAAATAACTCCTCATACTCTTTTGAGTAAGTTCCTGGACATCTAACATCTAATTCTGTTTGATTTTCTTTCTTCACTAATTTCTTTTTTCTGAGGATTAAGCCATGTTTGCTATCTCCTTTTTGAAAGTTATTAATAATAAGAAATTTTGAATAAGCGCGATGGATTTTAATAATCGAGCCTTTTGTTATTTGAGCGTCTCAATATCCGCCATTTTAAATTTTACAAAAAACTCCCGTGTAAATTATATGATAGTTTATATGTAAATTTGCTACCGCAATTTGTTTAAATCAGTAATTTTTGTATGTAGTGGGAAAATTATATTGATATATGATAGGAATATGTCCCTAATTCCTATACTGATTTGTTAAGTAACCACAATGACAAAGTATACCGTACATAAACTAAACCTTACAAATAATAAAACTAAGCAATTTTGAAATGGTTGTAAACTGAATGTGGACTTACTTGTATTTACAATTGTGATCTTTAGTTGTAGTTGTTCCAATTCCAGTGAACTCCAGGCGACGCTTCCAAGCTTTAATGGCGGCTTCTCAGGTTACTGGCTTTTCATTCACAGCTTTGTTTGGCTTTATTTTTAGACGAACTCGCGAATATTTAATTGTAAAGCGTGGACTGTAGTTTTTAATGACTGGATCCGTGTCGATGGACCAAAATGTATAATAAACTTAAATGAAATGTCGATGTTATCTTAGCCATGTATTTCTAACAACTATACCTTACATAATAATAAAGAATAAAATTAAAAGCTCAAAATGTCGGGTCAAAAGCTCCCTTACCAGATTTTGGTTATTTGTAAAGCACACCGTTAGATGGCGACATAATTAATTATATTTTATACATTTCTGAATACACTGCCTATTTCTTCTTCAAATAATTTTTCTCTTTCGGATCTAAATTCATTCCCAGCATGTGCATAGACATTGATAAAATTTATTTCATCTATTTTGGCTCCTATTGTTCTGGAATTTTTATGTAATAGTATAGTTTTAAATTCTATGCCAGGTCTTATCAAGATTGCTGTTCCTCTTTGATTCTCATTTAAAATGATACTTTCATATGTCTTAAAAAAATTAAAATCGTCTTCATTCATCTCTTGTATCATAATCATATTCTCTTATAATTTTTTTTATTAAAATTTTTGTTGTTAAACTCCTTACACCATTTATATTTATTGTTACTAAGTTTCTAAATTTGTAATTATCCATGTTTATTAAATATTATATTTCTTTTTTTTATTTATATAGTTTATAATTTTGTTATTTGTTTGTTTAAATCTTTCTCGGGTTTTTCGCCATATTCTTTATTTGACTTTAACGATTCATCTTGCAGGATTAATTTTTTCAACATATTTTAGTCTTTAATTTATTCTCGTATTTACTGTGCAATCATATGATTCATTTCTCCGCATTTAAAATATTTTCTTGGCTGTCCTTTTATAATTATTGCTGTATTTTTTACATTAATTTTAATGCTATCAGTTATTTCTTTTATTAGTTCCATAAGGAATGTTCTAATTCCCGTATAACAGTTATGTTTTCTCCAGACCACATATCTTCCTGATATTTCAAAACTCTCCCATATTCTGACATAATTTTTGTAATATATTCTTCTGAAATCTCCCACAGAACTTTTAGAAGTTTAATCCATTTCGTAGGTTTTTTCGGTTCACTAAATTCTATTTCGTAACTATGTTTTCATCTTTGTACTTAATATTAGCTTCGTATTTATTTTTAATTTTACTAATAATTTCCGCATTATTAAATTTGACATTTAATATTTTACTTTCCATTGCAATTCCATGAATGCAATTTATATCTTCGAACATACTTTCAAGGATTTTTCTTAACCATATATGTATTTTTAATAGAGCAATTGCTCCTTCTATTACTTTAAAATTAAAAAGGAGTGTATTGACTCTTTGGGGACGGCTGTCCACCTGAGTGGGCAAACATCTGTGTGAGACACAGCCTATTTTATAACAATAATAGCGATAATCAGTGTTGTATTTTGAAAATAATTTTAAGTTATTTTAGAAGCTTTTTTAGCCTTTTTCTTTGCTATGGCAAAACGACTCGTAAATTTTGTGAATTAAACAGTAGTGAAACAAAGAGAATATATGTGAAACAGTAGTGAAGATGAGTTTCAAATAGACATTCATACAGACAAATTTTACGAAATTACTATTCGTCCCGAAGATAGTGATGAATGTGATGATGATACTATCCAACCAATAAAAAGAAGAGGAAGTTCGACAAAGTAAATGAATAGTGTAAAGACATTAGTGAATGTGCCGATTCTCCTTCAATAATCGGGTTTGACATACATTAACAAACACCCCGACTACAAATACCAAGCAATATAAGACATCCAATAGATTATTTTACTTTATATTTTGCAAATGAATTATTAGACAATATAATAGAAAAAACAAACCATTATGACATTCAAATTTATTTCTATGATTGTGAAAATAGTTTTCGATCAATTACAAAGCCTCCTATCAGCATTTGAGCCTAAGCATCAACACCGTATGTTAAATAACATGGTTGTTTCTGTTTAGTCGAAAGAATTTTAACACATTTTATAATTTTGGAGTACACACTTCAAAAAGACGACATTAAAATAAATATTAGCTTGAAGGAAATTGACTTTTAGACCAAACATCATCAATTTCAGGAGGATTGTACGGATTTCGTAACCATGCATCAAGTAGTATAATTTATTGACAAACGAAGATATTTTCATGCTTGTGATAATTGATTTGTTCAATTTGTAATGACTCTGGTACAAGTTATTTCCGATCTTCAACAAATTATTTACTTGTTTAATATATATTACCATATTTGTGAACTTAATATATGATGGAAATTGAGACCTATGATGCAGCATGGATATTATATAAATAAAAGGATTGAATAAAATCGATTCGTACTCACCAAACGATATTTGGAATTGATATTAACCATTTAACGACGATATTAACAATCGATATTGTTTTGTGAGTTGCAAGTATTGAGAAATTTTTGGAGGATGATTAATTGCTATTTGCTTATGCAGTAAAATACACTTCATTAATTTTAAATAATCACAGGACACATCTTTGTTTTGACACTCTATGTTTTTGACCAATATTTCTATTTGGAAAATAACAAGTACTCAAATACAGATCAACAATACGTACAAATTATTATACAAATTTAAGTGTTTTGATATGGCAAATTGAATGTAAAATTATATGAATCAATTTTATAATAATATAATTACAGTTATTATGTACGATAATATGATAGTTCGCTATATTTCACATGCACATATTTTACGCGTCATTAGATTTATTTTTAGATTAGACCATACAAGATGCTGCATATTTTGTAGCAGGTGAAGTTCCTATTTTTATATTATATATATTAGAAACGAAAATACTTGATCCATATTTTTTTGTTTTATATACATTTCCCTTTTGTTTATAATGTTCTAATATTAAAATCATTTTCTATTTAATTTTGCTTTTTATGTTGTTGTTTGTGCCTTGAAAACTCTAGTGGAATATTTTATTTTTATTATTTAAATAATTTAAAAATACCACTTTTCTTTCAATTTCATCTTTCATATGCTACTTCATAACTTCATATAATTGACAATTTACATATATCAAGTACTGTTGATAAGTATACATTCTAAATTCATAGGTAGTTATATTTATGTTTTTTGCAGTTGATATCATTTTTAACAATAATTGCTGCTCCGCCATATCCGTCTTCTCGGTCTTTGTGGGATATCCTGTAGCCGCTGAAAGATTATTCAAGCCCAGGTTTAAACCACGTTTCCGAGAATGCGGCCATATCAATCCTGTTCTCATATAAGAAATGCTCGATGCTGGCTTTATTAGCATTAAGAGATCTACAATTTAATTGTAAGATTTGTAATTGTCTTGTCATGTTTTTTTTATTATTATTTTTATTTTATTATCTTTCCATATTTTTAATGTATAATATTTTTTCTTTTTAATGTTTTTTTTATTTATTTATTTTTGTTTTATTAATTATAACAATCAGAGTCAGAATGACTCTGAGTCACAGAGCTGATATAATTAAAACATTATATAATAAATTAAAATAAAAAAGAAAAAAAATTGATAAATAATAATAATTACAACTCATAACATAATTAAAACTAAAAGTAAAATTATAATATAAACTAAATAATCCGTGAAACTGTTCCAATGAACAGCTCACTAAGTTATGTCAAGTCCAAAGGAATTTTTCTCTTCAACCTTCTAGTAGACGGAGTCCTAAGTAGAGGTGCTATAAGATGATTTGGATGGTTTTCTAGCTTGGAGTGATGGATTGAACTTTTGCTGCTAATTACATCCTTAATAAAAGGAATATTGAGGTCGTCATGGATGATTTTATTACTTACATACCAAGGTGCGTCGGTGATCTGCCTTAAGATTTTGGATTGCATCCGTTGCATTAGGACAATGTTGGACATGCTGGCGCAACCCCCCAAAGCTCTATGCCGTTGTTCCAGATGGGCTTTATTACAGATTTATATATCAATAACTTGTTGTCAAGCGATAGGATTGATTTGCGCCTCATCAGCCAATTCAGGTCTGGTATCTTCTGTTTGATTTGTTTTATTTTAGCAATAATGTGGGTTTTCCATGTTAGTTTACGATCCAAATATATTCCCAGATATTTAACATTTTTAGCTGGTGGAATTTTTTGGCAATTAAAGTAAACTTCGGGACATATTAGTTTGTTTAAAAAAAATGTAATATGGCAAGATTTGCTCTCATTAATAACAATGCGCCATTTTTTCGTCCATCGCTCGACAGCATATTGATGTAACTAGAGCTTGATAGATGCAACCATAGGGTTGATATCAGAGGAAAGTATTGCAATGTCATCAGCAAATGTAGCAATTTATTTAGTTGGCAATGAAGGAAAATCGCTCGTAAATAGTAAATAAAGGAACGCACCCAGCACACTTCCTTGTGGAACGCCAGCACTTATGTCACCTTATTCATCGGAAAGGAAGTAGAAGTTTCACAGTTAACCCTGACTTTGAATGTTTTGTCTGTAAGGTATGACTTAAGAATTTCATAGTAGGATGACGGAGGGTTATATATATTTTTTTAATAATAATCCCTCATGCCACACTTTGTCAAATGCCTCAATAATATTAACAAGTCTGTGACACTGTTGCGTTGTCGAATGTTGCTTGCGAAAGCCAAATTGGTGGTCTGGAATAATATTTGATTCTGATAACATATCTTGAAGTAAAAGTTTTTCGAAAATTTTTGAGGTAGTAGGTAGAAAGCTTATTATAGGCCTACAAGATGAAACCAAATATGGATCCTTTCCAGCCTTTGGAATCATTTTAACTATTGAGGTTTTAAAGGATTTAGGCCAACATTCCAGTCTTAATATAGTCTTATTATAGCATTATAGATATATGTTAAACAAATAATACCTTTTTTAGGCAACAACCTCGACGAAATTAAGTCGATTCTTGGAGATTTTTTGTTTTTAAGTTTAGAAATTTCTCTGACAACCCTTCTCAGAGAGAAGAATCTTTTATTATTTCTAACAGTAATCGTTCGAAAAACCATGTCACAATCAGGAATTTGATTATCAGAAGGTAAATTAGGCTGAAACACAGATGATAAATACTTGGCAAAAACTTCATTTTTGTCCTTATCACTTCGTGACCAAGTCGAGTCGTTGTCAGCATCCCAACGAATTGTCGGGTTTCGCGCACATGGTTTGAGTCGGTTTTTTACTGGTTTCCAAATAGAATTATCGAAGTGGTTAAGGCTGGCTACATAGTTGGTGAAATTATAATTGCACATTTCTGTCAATCTATTCTTCAGCTTATTACTGATATTGTTAAAGTAGGTTTTATCTGAGGGTAAATGGCTGTTATGCCATTTTCTTCTTGCTCTCCGGTTTTCAGCGATAAGCTTTTTGATTTCTAGGGAAGTAGATTGTCGATTGGATTGCACAGGTTTAGACGTAGAGGATGTAGCAGCTTCAGTCAAGATGTTGTTGAAGTTTTCGATAGCTGTATCAACGTCAGTTTGCGTTTTCAATCTCATTTGCAAATTGATTTAGTCCTCATTTTTTTGCGATACATATCCCAATTTGTTTTCCCAGTGTGAAGGCATGGTGCTCAAGAAATATTAATTATAGATGAGCAGATACTAGCAATTACAGGAGTATGGTCGGATGAAAGGTCAAAATTAGTTTCAATTTCAGTATAATTTATATTGATGCCATGGGAAATAAAGAAATCCAGTAGATCTGGTTTCTTTTTGCGATCTGAGGGCCAGTAAGTTGGAGTACCCGTCGACAGCGTTACATAGTTATATTGGGAAATTACACTGTATAGTTGTCTGCCCTTGGGATTAGTCAATCTTGAGCCTCAGAGAGGTTGCTTGCTATTGAAATCATCCCCCACTATGAACCTGGGTCCTAAAAAGAGAAGAAATCATAGAATTGAACGCTGGTAATCGCATGGCGTGGAGGGCAATATACGGCAAATAGTATGATGTTACATGTTGCGAGTTTGACTTGTATTGATGTAGCTTGTAAGAAATCCTTGCTATATTTAGGAACCTCATAGTGTGTTAAGTTGTATTTAATAAGTATAGCTGAACCATGAGCAGAGCCATCTGAATGCGGAGTGTGATAAATGTTGTAGCAGGGAATGTACATATTGGAGTAATTAGTAAAGTGGGTTTCACTTACTAACAACACGTCAATTTTATTTTCTTCCAGAAAAATAATTAGTTCGTTCCTACGTTGTAGTAGGCCATTTGCATTCCAAGCACATATTCTAATAAATATAGCCATTGATACTAGTTTACTTTATTGATTAGTAGTGTTGATAGTATGTTGATTATCATACTATTCTGTTGCATTAGCTGGTTGAACATTGCTTTCAATTCCACTAAAAATTGAGGGATAGCTGAATTTTGATTTTCTGAATTATTAACTGGGTTATGTGATTTTATAGCTTGCGCATACGATAAGTGCTCTGTGTTGGTGAGTCTGCCGAAGAGAGACTTGTCTGCATAGCTTTGCGAAGTGGTAGGCTTGTTTTGATTGAACAGAAATTTTACTGTTAATGCGATTTTTAGAATTAACTATCTGTTAATAAATGACGCAACCTTTGTAATTAGCTTAGAATCGGGACCCTTGAGTATTAAAACGTTTTCTTTTAACGCCGGCAATCGGGACAATTTGCCATTTGTTTTTATTAGAATTGTTAGTTTCCGTTTCAACTCCCATAACGCTAGTTGACGGTATCGGAGCATTAATTATTATGTTTGTTGAAGGTATGGGAGCATTAGTTAGTATGTCTCTTGATGAACAAGTTAAATTTGCAGACTGATTACGTAGATGTTCTGTAATAAATTCTGAACTGGTGCCGACTCCACAATTAAGTTATTCATTGCGAACCCCAAAGGGGTCCACAATTAAATTGTTAAACAATGTGACACTCTTTGTATTAAACACTAATTAGTATTTGTTCAATAAATATTACAATCACTTTATTATAAAAATCCGTATGAACAATGTGTTTACATTAACTTTAATACACTGAAATGTACCCTTGCGGGTACATTTGATTGTTTTGATTTATAACACTTTGGTATTATGATTCAACTGATAAGAATTCCTTTTACAATTACGCACGAAATATACCTGAACCTGATAAGGTAGGTACAAAGTGCACTTCACGGTAGCTCGAAGCGAACTTTTTTTAATGTTAAGAATTATTTCTTCGATTAATTTATCGAATGGAATTTCACCTTTCTCACTATTGATATGTGAGGAAGATTTTTGTTTTGTATTAATATTGTACTTAAATTTGTACCTGTGTACTGGGCATATTTTCAATTGTTTTGTTGTTATCACTATCATTTGTTACGTTTATCGATTTGTTATTTCTATATGTCTAGATATTGTTGCTGAAGGCTTCGTGTTTACTGGCTGTTGATTTATTTCTACATCTTTTTCCTGCTGCGTATTGGGCAATTCAGGAAATTTCACTTTGCTTCTAATTTCTATGTCCGGATCTATGACGTTGGCATATGTTCTGTTGTTTATAAATGCCCTGGCTTCTCTGAAACTTATATTATTTTCGTTCATTCTATTTTTAATTTTAACATGATACAAATATTTTTCACACTTCTTATCAATGGCTTGATGCTCCCCATTGCATAACGCACAAACCGGATTCTTTTCTTTATTTACACAATCCTTGAAACTGTGTTCTTGTGCACAATAGCTGCACCTCGCTTTATTTTTACATTGGCTGGCCACGTGGACCAGTCTTTGGTATTTGAAACATTGTGTCACTTTATTATATGTTTCGTCTCTGCATTTGACAGCGTATATTGAAACACAATCAGATCAACAAAGATAAGTAAACATAAACAGATAAGTAAGTACATAGATAAGTAAACATAAGCAGGTAAACGTTGACCTCTGATCGTTATCACGCATACTCTTGTTGGTACTGATGCATTGTCTTGTTTTTTTTATTATTCTTTTAATATCTATAACAGGAATTTCTGATTTTATATTTTTTTAAATATCTGATTCAGTCATTTCGGTGTGACGTCATATATAATGCCCTTTCTAATCAACATAAAAATAGGTATATACTCATGCTTTTAGTTTCTTTTCAATAAATAATTTCAATAATTATATTATTGGCAGCGTCATATTACCTAAACATAATTTTATTTCTGTCTATGCCTATGGATTTTATTTCTGTAATATCGTTTTTATATAGAGGTAAACTGCTAAATGATATTCAAATCACTTTAATATTCTGCCTAATATTATTTGATGTACTGTATTTTTATCTTTGTCTACGATCTACGATCGTGATCTACTAATCTTGATCCCCAATTTGTATGCTTGCTATTGAAGTCTCTTCCAACTATAAATCTAGTACCCACTTCGAAAAATTCTTGAAAATGATGAATTTTCAAATAATGCCTCGTCTGAAATTACAATATCATATGGTTATTGTTTTACTTTAATCGAAGTTGATTGTAAATACCCTTTTTTTATTTCTTTTATTGGCCTTTGATAAACATTTAGCCACATTACAATATCTTTACTTTACTTTAATTTAAATTCTGTAATAATGATAACAAATTGATGGGTTTGATTAGTGTTTTTATAGGGTGCAGTTCCTCTAACAATTTTGCCATGTTTTCCTCAAATAGACTGCATTCTAGTATTATGTGTTCAGTTGATTCAATTGATGCTTCACAATGACATGATTCTGATGCTTTTACTCGTAGCCTTTTCAGATGTGCGGGAAAGTTGTCATGGTTAAATCCCAATCTCGTTAATGATACGATTGTACCTCTGTTTCCATTTACAAATTTCAGAAACCACGGTATCTTCTACTGTAATATCGTCCCCTTGTCTCCGACGAACTATTCCATTCTTCTTGCTATTTGTCAAATATTTTTTAATATAATAATATTATATATATATAGTCATTCACTGTGGCTGGGTGGTTCCATGTTCCGTAGCCCATTTTGCTATTGTGTCCGCTTCTTCGTTGCCTCTAATATCAAAGTAGGATCTAATCCATAATAATTTAATTATATAACCGTGACAATATATAACAATAGATGTATAAGGCTATTTCAGACTTTATATAGTGATGTTTAGCTTAATCTATTTGTGAAAAATAGAGTTTTCAGTTTGTGTAAGCAGCTTTTGCTGTCAGTGAAAATAACCGCTTTAGTGAATTCGATAGTTTCGAAGAATTCAATCGCTTTTTTATGGCTATTAACTCTGCTGGCCAAACTGAAACAAAGTCTGGGAGTTAATAACCTATTTTGATATCATCTTATACCCTACACATAATTTCAAACATTTATATTGGATTTTATCTAGTTTCCTGCAATGTGAGGAATTACTGAAAACTAGACTTCTATAATCTAATGATGGTCTAATTAATGTTTTGTATAAGTTTAGAGCTGTTGTAGCGTAAGCTCCCCACCATGCCCTATTTACAAATCTATTACCAATATTCGTAAAATATATTTTGTTTCAACTTTTTTGATGGCCTGATCTATATGTGTTTTAAAAGATAATCTTTTATCGAATGTGACACCCAGCAATTCATAGGTTTCGTGTATTTTAATTCTGTGATATTCAGTCGTTAGTGATTGCTCTAATAACTTTCTGCGTCTTGTAACAACTCCTATTGAGCTCTTTTCATCTGATGATTCGAGTCCTTTTTTTGAGAGTCATCTATATCAGATTCTTTATAGAGATATTCATAATAGTTACAAATTTTGTTTACATTTCTATGGGTTGCGTACCAATGTTTATTCGTTTATAGACTACGACGCGGCGCTAACGCGCTTCGATTTATTATCTCTATAACATTAGCGTAGTACCATTGCCATAAAAAAGTTAAAAATTCTAAAAAAACATCAGAATATAAAAAAAAAATCAAAAACTGATTTTTATGAAATTTTTAGAAAATGATAAAATTAAAAAAAAATGATACGGAAAGTTCCAGCAATTTGTTTTCAAGCACGATGCTATATACCACTAGTTAAAATGATTGTTCATTCAAAATTTATGTGTTACCTGTAAAATTATAATTACATATTAATGACAACAATAATAAGAATAAGAAAATATAATTTATTCTAATATAAACACTATTTACAGATTTAGCGTTGTCAACATATTATATTAGCCAAGCTCAACATAAGACAAGAAAAGATTTCTGTACTCGCATTTCACTACGCAAAAGATGAACTTGAATTTGGCGCCATTGTTGGCAGACCTGCGCCTAGTCGAGTAAGTGCATACATTAATCTGTGGTCGTGCCCAAGTCACGTGTTTTATGTGTGTAGTATTCTATTATGTTGCTTCGTGATGCCAATTAGTTCAACGTGTTTGTGTTTTGGTGTTTATTTCTATTTTATTTAAATTCAGTGCTTTGGTAGACAAATAATCAAATGGCCTAAATTGGCGATGAAATTGTTTGCAGATTTTTGGTTTGTATTTTGATGAATTATTAATTCAATACGTGAAACAAAAACAAAGAATTTGACAGCATTCTATTTCGTATTCGCTTTGATTTTATATGTGAAATATTCGTTAAAAATGTTCATGCTTTTCATGCTTGTTGTTGCAACACGCTGTTGATTTAATATAAAACACAATGTTTGTTTTATTTATGATTATTATGTACATACGCATGTACTTTATTTATTGATATCATTTCCAATTTCATAGAAACGCTATGGCTTATGCATATTCTATTTTAACACTGTATTGATTTTCTTTCCTTTTGAGACTATTTTAAAATATTTTATTTCTATGTATGAATTACTATAATATTCTGTACTTTCAGGTGTCGGTGAAGAAATTTTATTCAACGTAATGGGAATGTTCTGCCGAACAAAATCATCCTACATTTTATAGCCATGCAAGGTACACTGAGTAAGAATTTTTAGCAAGTAAGTACCTGCTAGTTTTTGATTGCGATGGATATAATCCTGATAAGTATGATCAACTATGCTGTTTTAGAGAACACTTAAAGGCATATGATGCCAGAATTCCATGAATGAAATTCTAGGCGTTTGAACTGCTATTGTCAGATCCTGCAAGTTAAAAAAGTATAAATATTTATTTAATAACAGTTATCAGTAACTGATCTCTGTATGATTATGAGTTTAGCAGTTAGTTCACGATATACAAATTTTATTACTGCTAGCAAATATGATTGGATTTTTTGACCCACTTTCAATGGTTAAATTAGATATTCATACTTGAACTTATCATGAAGCATATTAAACTTATGTAGTGTTGTTGTTTTACTTTCCTCTCAACCTTTAATTTAGTATCAATTTTATATTTTTCTAATGTTAAAAACTATACCTCACATAATTAACTATATGATAATTTTTTTTTTCACATAGTCTGTACTGTACTTAGATGTTACTCTTATTTCTGGTCACACCATCAAATTAATATTAACAAAAACTTTACTTACTATGTAAAATTCGTCTCAAGTTTCTAATAAGTTTACATATTTCCACTTTAAGACATACTTTTGCACTGCAATAAATCTTTTCGAAAAAATGTTCTCACTGCTATAGAATTTATCGGAAGTTGTGATAGAATATTGTACTTACTCATTACCCAATAAATCTTGGCATATGTATATGCATGTATGTGTATGTATATATGTATAAATATATATATATATATATATATATATATATATATATATATATATATATTAGGTGCAGTTTATAAAAATCGAGTTTTCAATTGTTATGATTGGATGTCCTGAAGTCCTGAATTCATTAAGGAATTTAAATTGAAGTGCGTTAACAGATACTCATTGTAATAAGTTTATAGTAATGGTTTCTTTAAATGCTTCAAAACAAAACATTATTGAATTTGAACTTGATATTTAATACTTGTTGTTCGCCACCAGCATGAAACTCATGAACCATTATTAGCTGAGCTTGAGATCTCATATAATAGATTTTCTATATTAACTATGATGGAAAATTGTTTTCCTCTACAAATAAAGCAATGAAAGCATTTGTATTTAACATTACAATGTTTTTGGATCACAACATTTCTAATTAAATTACTCTAGTGACAATAGCATCAATTTCAAATTCGATACAAATTGCTATTTGCTATTCAAACGATCAATGAAAGCATTTACATACAATTAATTATACATCTATAGCTAGGGCATATCATCAAAAAAATCATGAATTTACTTGAAAAATCCATTTTAAAATCCATTAGTTTTTGCCTTAAAGCCTAATTCAGTGGAACAAAAGTTATATTTAACAACTAAAGTATGTGAAATAATGCGAGTATGTAGCTTGTATAGTAGTTTAACTGTGTATTAATTTTTCATGTAATAGTTGAAAATGAGTTTATACGTGAAAATCAATCATCAATACTTAATCTTGCATGTACTTTAATTATTCTGATGGAAAACATATTGAGAGCATTTCATTTTAAGCAGATAGGCAATACTAAATTGCATTATTACTAAATACATTTCAGTTTTGATATGAGATTTTGGAGAAACTCTTCATCCTTGCATATAGAAATACAATAAAATCCCAAAAATACTGTTTGTTTAGTTGCAAGCACTATTATTTTTATGCAGTACAGCAAAACATACTCTCTGGTGACCAAACAAATAAATCACATTCATAGAGCACCCATATATACATCGATGTTTGATTTTGAGTAAAATACAAATGCCTATTGCTTAATTCTATATTTCCATTATATTCTTATTATAGCCTTAGATTTAAATTCCAATCCATATCGCATATTTACCTTTACTTGGTCAATAGGATCTCTGTTATTCAAAACAAGTATTGATTATAAATTCAATACTTCTATAGTCTTGGGTTCGAGTAATTACGAAAAAACGGCGCGGCCGAACTTTACCATGAACTAATCAGTATGAGTAACAGTTTAGGAATATATTGGCGAAATACGTACATCTTATCTTTTGGTAAATCATTGTCGTTGTCGTCCGCTCTTTCGGCTTGCGGAATATCCTCGTTTTTAATGGTTATATTATCTGACTCGATTTCTTTCTTCGCAACAAAACTTATATTGATTGAAAAAAAAAATTATAATACGATTTGAAAAGTTCCTTGTTAATTCGAATAGTTTGTAAGATAGAAACTCACCTTAAATCCTTGCCATTTATTTTTCCCATTTTCTGCGGCAGTGTTCAAACACAAACGAATTGATTCAGTGGGACGTCGCAAATTTTGTTTATGCGAATTGATTAGGTCAATGGGATTTCTGGAATTCAAAAAAGCATTAATTACATATTTAATACTTCTACTCTTTGACTTGAAGAAATTCTGTAAGTAAAATAAAGATCGAATCATTATTTGTTCAGCTGATAACACAATATGCAAATTATAAAATTTCGATGGCCATGGCTCACAGCTATATCCTAGCTTAAAGAAAATGAATCTTGCTCCTTGATAAAAATAAGATAAACGAGAATACTTACACAGAAATCACTTAATTTTTTCATGAAGGAGCTGTTTATACTAATCTATGTTTAAATCTTCTATATTTTTTAACACCGCGTAAAGGAACAGATACTCGAGGTGGAAATACTTCTTTCACAGGATTTCCTTCAGAGTACTTTTTCTTATCTATTGTTTTTTCGTTACAATTTATTTTTGTTAATCAATACTTTAATGTGAAATTTATAATTAGTAGATTTTTATGAAAGCATTCTGAAAATAAATATATTTGTATTGCATATTAAAATAAAACATTTTTTTATAAATGATATGTATTTCAACTAAAATATAAAACTAAAATATAAAACACAAATAAATAATAATATAAAATAATATAAAATAAAAACTTCAAGGCTTACAATTTGCTGTGTGATATTTATCATAAAAGCATGAAAAACATAAAAATATATGAAGTGAGCACGCTTTAAAAATTCTGCTGTGTTACATAAACATTTGTCTCTACCTACAGATCCTGTAAAGCATATCTGATTTACGTTTAAAAATACTTCTCTAGTGCTTCCTAATTTGCTCGCAAACCATGCCGTATCTGATCATTTTTTGAAATACAACAGCGGATAATTGGTAATGTATTAAAAAATGTATTTTCACTGTCTTCTTTCTATTCAATTCCCTTTTAATTTGCGTGACTTAATAACAATTTTCGATTTTACGCATGAACCCCTTCACTTGTCTTAAAAAGTAAACGTCACACGGTTGGCAATAAGGTGTGCAATAAGGAGGAATAATCTCTACGGTGCTGGTTCTTTCTCCATCCACGTTCGTAAAATTATTATTGAATAAATCTGGATCCGTCTGACCACCCCGTGAATCAATTATCAGCAAAAACTTGTTATTTCCCACATAGGGCCGTAAAACATTGTTTATATATGACACAAAATGTCCTTTTAAAAGCAGTCAGAAAAACGTTACCAAATTCAGACATGTATTTTATCATTTTTGACGGTACTCTTGGGCCAAATTCGCCCGCTGGCTCACGGAAACATAAAAACACTTTAGGAAGCAGTTTTCCTTATGTTGTCACAGAATACTGTGCCGTATATGTGTGAATTACTTTACTAAAATCTCCCAAATATATTTCCGTTGCTTTTTGTCCTTTATACGATATTGTTCTTTTCACATTGTATTTATAATAAAGTCTTTATTAAAATTTGGCATAATATTTGATATATACCTTTGAAATTTATTTGATTCGTCCAAGATCACAACAATCTCCAAGGCTTTTTTGGACTTTGTATATTTTGTTGTACGCCCTTGGCAAATCTTATGATTTACTCTAAATCTATCGACCCACGCTGAAGAAGTTTTGAATTGGAAAATATTCGATTGAAATTAAAGAGCAGCAGCAGACGCCCATTGTTAAATAATGATTTCTTACACAAACAAATGTATCTATTATAACTTGTTTTGCACAAGAAAATGAATATTCTTCATCACTGGATGTTTTATTTATATTAGCCATTTTATCTTCTGAAATATGTATAAATAAATGAATAATTATAAATATATATTATTTATGAAAAAAATGTTTTATTTTATTTTATCAATATGCAATGCAAATATTATTTTTAGAATGCTTTTTATAAATTTTACATATTTGTGTAGTATATGTAACAAATTAATAGTTATTATTATAATATTTAACCAAATAGATGTAAAAATAAATTTAAAAAAAATATAAAACGCGCGTAGATATAGCGCTTAGCGCGTTTTTCGCAATTTTTAGCAAAATTAGATTTTGTCCTTCATTATTCTTACCTCTGCTATAATAGAACAATATAAGATAAATAAAGAGGAATTAAAAAAAATTGAGTTATTAAAAATCCAACCACATCTGTAGTCTAAAATATGGTATAAAATATAACAAAATGAATGTAATGAATTTAATTATACTAAATAAATTCCACAGGTAATTTTCGTTTTAAACTGGTCGGCTGGCCTTCCAGCTACAGTTCATTGACTATTAGTCAGAATTAAATTCTTTGGAATATTTGTTTTTTATTTGGAGGCAATCTCTGATATTTGTTCTTGAATTATAGGTATGCCTGTATCTTCGTGAATGATCGATGTGGGCATGTACGTGGAGCATATAATAATTGTTTCTCTTCTATACCCTTCTGGCTTGTTAATAACATTTTATTTAATTTTCGTGTCCTTTGATCAAAAGCATTAATTTCAAGGCGTTGGACACCATTTGAATGGCCTTATCCATCCTCCTAGAGCACTTTCTTTCTAACACTTGACTTTTCATTTGATCATTAAAACTTTCTAGATACATATTGGTATTAATCCCTAATTTTTTCCGAAGACATGCGCCTACGTAGTTGCTCGTTTGCAGTAAACTTTTCTAAAATATGCAAGAAATAACTTAGCATCGTCATCTGCCTGAAATTCATTCAGAAAAGCCTTTAAATTCTTCGAAAAATCTTTCTCACCTAAAATCATTTTTATTTTTACTAATTTCCTATAAATGA